CCCCGATATAACGCAACCCAATATAACATGAATTCGTATGTAACGTGGTAAAGTAGTGCTCCGGAGGGATCTGGCGGGATCAAAGCAAGTTTGATATAACGCGGTTTCACCTATAATGTGGTAAGATTTTTTGGCTCCCGAGGACAGCGTTATATCTGGGTAGAGGTGTACCACCATCTCAGATATACTTTAATTACACAAAAACTAAGTTTAAAAAGATTATTAAGGTTGTAAAGTCACGTAAACAAAAAAGTTAAGAAATGCCAAAATTACAGTTGCCTATACAACCTTAATTTTGCCTCCTGGTGCATATTCATTAGGATATCTTTAATTACATGATCACATACTATTTTAGCCACAGGACCAGGCCTCATTTAGTGCACAGGACAGTGCTCATTTAATTAGCAGATATTTAATATTGTGTTTTAGTTTCATTGTTCTATATCAGGGGTAGGGAACCTATAGCACAGGTGCTGAAGGCAGCACGTGAGCTGATTTTCAGTGGCACTCACACTGCCTGGGTCCTGGCCACTGGTCCGGGGGGCTCTGCATTTTATTTAATTTTAAATGAAGCTTCTTAAACATTTTAAAAACCTTATTTACTTTACATACAACAATAGTTTAGTTATATATTATAGGCTTATAGAAAGAGACCTTCTAAGAACGTTAAAATGTATTACTGGCACGCAAAACCTTAAATTAGAGTGAATGAATGAAGACTCGGCACACCACTTCTGAAAGGTTGCCGACCCCTGTTCTATATTTACCACATATTATTACAAACCCTGCTCTGAAGGCAGAATTATTCATTTTCTCATGGGCTCTTCTCTGATGTTCATCACTATAGTATCTTAGTGCTTCACAAACACTAATGAATTTAAGACACGCACACACACAGTAAGATGAGGGAATAGAACTATCCCCATTTTACAGATGGAAAATGAGTCTCCAGGGTAGCATTCAACTGCCTTAACCCGGAGACCATTCCTTCTCTTCCTGCAATCCCCTGCCTCATTCACTGCATGCCTTCCAACTTCTGGAACATATGAGACAGGAGTCCTATAGACAATAGCCTCCTTCACTATACAATCTTGATTCATCCCCAGAACAGATCCATCTTGTGCACTGAATGAGGCAAACAAGGGTCCTGTGGAAAAAACAATATGTAATTTAAAGATGGCACTGTAACACATAAGCACAAGGCAGCTGAATTAAGGTTGCACACACAAACTTAACTCTGGCATTTCTAAGTTTGGATTGCTTGATTTTGCAATCTAATATTCCCATAATGTAGGGGGGGGGGGGGTAATATAATTTCCTAGGTTTTTAAAAAAGCTAACTAAAAAAACCCCCCAGGAATTCTATCATGTGGCATTCATATTGGGTCCACATAGGTCATCAGCAGAGCGGAAAATTTAGATCCGCCACACAAACCTCTATTACTTGAGCTAACTGAGTAACTGATATCGGTAGTAGGTGGTCATCCTCTGTGGACCAGCATTAGAGATGAGTCACGCTTTGCCAGTGGGCTTCTCAGCTATTCAACGACAGCAGAACAAGAGTGACACTCAGGAATTTGGGGTGCTATTCCAGGCTCTGGAGGGAGTGTGCTTTACAGGGCCCAGACTATTTTGCCCATCCCCCACAAGCTTATCCCCTTCTGCCTCATTCCCATCAACCTGTCCCAGACCCAGTCCTGTCTCTTCCCCACTTCAGACTCCTTGTCCCAGTCTCCACTCCTCCGGCTTATCATCCCAGTCCCAATCTCCTTGCCTAGCCAGTCCCCCCAGGCTCACTGTTCAAGCCCCGATCTCCCCCACTCCCAGTCCCCCCCACTCCCCACACCTAGTCCTAATATCCTTGCTCAGAAAGTCCCAGTTCCTCTCTCTCCCACCACAACTCCCTTTACCCAGTCTCCTCGCTCAGTCTGTTTACCCCTCTTGGCTACTCATCCTATCTGTCCTATCTATCAGTCCTATACTCCCTTTCCAGTCTCTTAGAATCATAAAATTGTAAGCTGGAAGGGACCTCAAGAGCTCATCCAGTCCAATCCCCTGTGCTCAAGGCAGGACTAAGTATTATCTAGAACATCCCTGACAGGTGTTTGTCTAATCTGCTCTCAAAAAATCTCCAATGACAGAGATTCCACACTCTCCCTAGGCAATTTATTCCAGTGTTTAACTACCCTGATGGTTAGGAAGTTTTTCCTAATGTCCAACTTAAATTGCAGCAATGGTAGTTTTAAATCCATTGCTCTTTGTCCTAACTTCAGAGGTTAACAAAAACAATTTTTCTCCCTCCTCCTTGTAACTATCTCTTATGTACTTGAAAACTGTTATGTCCCTCACGCAGTCTTCTCCAGACTAAACAAACCCAATTTTTTCAATCTTCCCTCAGAGGTCGTGTTTTCTAGACCTTTAATAATTTTTGCTGCTCTTCTCTGGACTTTCTCCAATTTGCCCACATGCAGTGTGTTTATAATATGCAAATTTAATCTAGGAAAATATTTACATAATAAACAAACTCAACCTGGATGCTGAAAGTCAAGCTATTATTTTTCTGTTACATATCACTAGTAATAAAGATGCTGAAATTGGACCTTGGTTAATAATTATGTTGATAAGCGAGTCAAAGAGAATTCAGCTCACTTTCGAATCTCACTTTCTAATAATTTCACTGGTTCTGCAGTGGTAATAAGAGTTAAAACTAATAAAAGGCTGTCAGTAAAGTAAGCAGACAGAATATATACAAAAAAGCAGATCTGTTAAATGAGGTGCTATTTTCATAAAACATTGAAGTTGATAATGCCTCTTCAATTCAGCCAATATGCACAGATTTGTACTGCAATTGTTCTATCTCCTTTACTCACCATATGATACTATATTTGAAGAAACTGCCTTTATAAAATTCAAATAGTTTTGAATGAATGCAGTTTGAACTGAAAGGTTCGAAAGATACTAAAAAAAAATCCAACACAAGTTGTTTTTTAATCAAACTCGTTCAGTATACCTTATGTTGAAATGCAATCATACAGATTAAATTAACATTTTAATCACACTGCTCATCAGGAAACCATAGAATGTAGGACTGGAAATGACCTCAAGAAATCATCTAGTCCAACCCCTTACACTGAGGCAGGATTAAGTACATCTAGATCATCCCTGTCAGGTGTTTGTTCTTTAAAACCTCCAACAACAGGAATTCCCTTGGTAACCTGTTCCAGTGCTTAACTATCCTTAAAATTAAAATATTTTTCCTAATAAAAAAATAATGTATAACAAATAGAAGAAAGTGGAAGTTGTTAGTAATGAATATAGATCATATAGAAGCTAAGAACTCTGGAAAACGGCTAAAGGAAGCAAAGGGACACAGGAGAAATCTAAAGCCAGCAGAGTTAAGGACAATAAGGAACAAAAAGAATCCTGACAATAGTAGAATCAACTAATTTCTGATGTCTTTTTTGAAAACTGTTCTTGGGTTTTTACTTGAAATGCAATTCTATTTTGACAAATGTATTAATTGGTTTGTGGGGTACCACATTTATTGTCTTCATGATTTAAAAAAAAAAATCTGCTCAGTTTGCAAGTACAGGAACTCCTCACTTAACGTTGTAGTTATGTTCCTAGAAAACGCGACTTCAAGCAAAATGATGGTAAGTGAATCCAATTTCCCCATAAGAATTAATATAAACGAGGGGGTTAGGTTCCAGGGAAATTTTTTTCCCAGACAAAAGAGTATATATATATATACACACACACACACACACACACACACACACACAGAGTATACGTTTTAAACAAACAATTTAATAATAGTACACAGTGATGGTTGTAAAGCTTGGTTGAGGTGGAGGAGTCAGAGGGTGGGATATTTCCCAGGGAATGCCTTACTGCTAAATGAACTAGCAACTGACTGAGTCCCTCAAGGGTTAACTCTCACAACACTCTACAAGGCAGCAGGAAAGGAGGGAGGGCAGACAGAGACACACACCCTGTGTGTGAGAGAAAAAAAATGCACATTTCCCCTTTAAGTAGCTGACCCCAGGCTTAAGTACACTGCCTTGTTAATTAAATCAGCTTGCTGAGACCTGAGAAGCTCCCTCCCTCCATTGTATGTCCCCCCTGCTCTATGGAAGATGGGGTAAGCGGGGTGCAGGAGCAGGGGGAGACACCCTGACATTAGCCCCCCTTTTCCCCGCTCCCTCCCATACAGCAAACAGGAGTCTTTGGGAGCAGCTCCAAGGCAGAGGGCAGGAGCAGCACGTGCTAGTGGGGGGAGGGACAGCTGCTGCACAGGGAATTTAGGGGAGTGGGGAGCTGATGGGGGGCTGCTGGTCCACCCTTGTTCCAACCACCCACCAGCTAGCTGCAACGGGCTGCTCTCCCTACAAGCAGTGGACAAAACAGGCGGCTGCCAAACGACGTTAGAAGGGAGCATTTCACAACTTTAAACGAGCATGTTCCCTAATTGATCAGCAACTTAACATCGAAACAACGTTAACCGGGACGACTTTAAGTGAGGAGTTCCTGTAAAGGTAGAAGGGTTTTCTAACTGCCCAAGTGCAAACTCACCCTGCGGCTCTGAAAATCAAGCTGGATATTTTTCTTCTCATACAGACCAGATTCTGCTATTAGTTATACCTGTGCAACTCCATGTTATTCAAATTATACCCTCATTTAAATCTGTGGAACATCTGTGTTAGACTTCACCAGGATTGCATAATATAATAGAGGAAAAAATGTGGTCCTTCAATTAAAACTTTAACAACTCTATTGATAATACATGAGCCAGAAGAGAATCCAGCTCCAACTCCCACAGCTGTATTACCCCTACAAAAACAGAAGTAAACTTACATTGTCAGTAAGTCAGCAGATAGGACTATAAACGCACAAAGGGGGAACAGATTTACTGAGCAAGAATATGCCATTTTTACAAAAAGTCACTTTTCAGATGAGAACTAATCTCTACGATGAATCCAATGTTTTCTCTGTTTTAGTTACAGGCAAATTTAAATTTCATGAAGGCCACTATCATCTCTAATATGCCCTGCAAGATCTTGACAATGAGGTTACTCTCTTGTATCTTGTTAGATTTTGTTAGATACTCAGAAATCCCACCATTTTTGTCCTGAGAAATTTAAAACCAAACTGGAGAAAGTCCTTAAAAGTATACTATAAGAAGAATCTACCACTTTCAGTGGCCAATCACAAAACACAACCTGTTCAAATGCATTCATGATATGATCTTTAATTACACAGTTTAATACTTTGTATGCTGTATTAACCATGACAGAATGCAGACTGAAATACTTTTTAATGTAAAGAAAGTTTACTATATCTTACATTAAAATAATCAGGACAACTTCAAGTTATAGTCAAGTTAAAAAGAAAGTTAACAATGTTTTAATCTATTTGATTTCTAAATAATATAATTTAGTTGTCCTAGTTAAAGAAATGAAACAGTATAATTTAAATTAACCTGGCCAGTTTAAAAAGTGTTTGAGACCAAACATAATTTTTGTTTTTACTAGAAGTGGTTAATAGGCAGAAAGCTGCATTACATTTCTTTGAAATATCTGATGATTGGTCCTCATTAAGTTAATTCATAGTAGTATATGTAAACAAAGCCAGGACATCATAATCCATTTTTGGATTAAATTAGATATTGCATCTTCTTTTCTTAGACTTTAGACCACATGATATTTCTCAAAAAGCGGAAATGTTTACTCTTTTGGTAAACTCCACCATTCTTCACTCTTCTGGTGAACCTAAAACCAATTAATTAGGTAGGAGGGTAGAGTTTATTTGCAATTCAGAGTCATGTTCTACTGCACATTATACAATCCTGCAGCTTCTGATGCTGTTGTGAACTAAAAGCATCCTTCATATTTATACAACAGTGTAAGTAGACATGCCATGTCAAACCTCAATAAAATTGTCCTGTTCCTCCTGCCTTAAACAGTCTTCAGCGGACACGTTACATAATTCTTTTCTGCTCTGTAGCAATGATTTCACAGAGCGTAGTACACCATCAGTGAAATCCTGAAAGGCAATGGAGAAACACATAAATGTACAGCAAATGAAAAAGCTGAGCAGAATTTTAAATGTGGGGTATTTTTTCCCACAAACATACAACTGTTTTTCTGAACACTGTTTCAAACTATTGTGTGTACAGGCCACCAGCCATCAGCTGCAAAATTTAAATGCTACTTACGATTATGGGGAATCATGAAACTTTCAAACTGCCAACAGACCTACGCTTCTCTCCAACCAAAAGAATACCCCTCAATGCAAAAAAGCCACATTCTTTCCAAAAATGCCAAGTCCTAGCTGAGATGGTCTATAACAACAGTAGAGAGAAAACAGGAGTTGCTACTGATTAGTTCAAACAATACCTGGACTCTTAGGATGAGCAGGGAATAAAGTACCAGGCAGATACAAAGAAAGGCCCCCTATATCACTCTGTACCTGCAAATGGAACCTGTACACTTTTCTTTTGCATAGGCAACAATTTAAAATTGTTCTTCCTATGGTAAACAAACACAAAAAATGAGGAGGCTTCAGCAGTTAACAAGTAATATATTCACTCGGTCTCCCACGTAGCCACTGAAAGAATGATGAAAGAACAGGGTTCATTGCATGAGTTTCTTGGTGCAAGTATTTAACAGGAGAGGCACCACATGAACAGAAGACTATTACAGGTGTTTGTAAAATAGGTACCTAAAAGCTGGTAGAATCTGACAATTCTGTAATTAAGATAAAGAACAAAATAATCAAAAACTTGTTTATTATACCTGGAATTTAAAATCTATAGGAAAAAAAGGTTGGTAAAACTGAACAAAAAGATAAACAAAACTACTTGACTCTTCAGGTCAGGGGGAAAAAAAAGAAAACTTGGTGCCATCTCATTTTACTGCAAGAAAGTACTTTGCAGAAGGCCACCAGTTTGAAAAAAACCTAGGTCTTCTTTATTTCTGTAAGAAATGCTAAGGTAGTTCCTGAAAGAGAAGGACTGCAGTTAAGCAGTAATTGGAAACATGTCTGCAAAACTAGCCAGCCAGATATAAAGTTGGTGCAAAAGAATGAAGTAAACGAAAAAATGAGTTGAACCTACTAACACTGAAGTACAAAATTAACAACAAAGTTACCTAAATCTTGAATAGCTTCTGAAAGATCAGCAAAAGTAGTAGAGACACAAATTTAATCAGGGAACGTTCGAGCTGTCGACATACCATCAGGAAAAAATAATCTCTTTATGGTAAAATTTTGTCTTATGTCTTACAATTGAATCTTAAACATGGCTGCAGAAAAATGGTATAACATGCCACTCCATAAGATGCCTGATAATTCCAGAGTGAGCAGCACTATTATCTTTCTACGCCCTGATATTGGAGATTGAGGTAGCATCTTCAAAACTGTCAGACAAAAGAAGAATGTAAACCTAGATTAAGGATTCTTAAAACTGTTCAAGTTGTGGAACACATTTTAGTAGAGTGCTTGTCTCCTGGATCACTTGCCCTCTCACTGGAGATTGTACAACATCCCAACAACAACTAAAACAGTTATTTACACAGAAAGGTAACAGTAAGCAAGTGAAATATTTTAAAATGAAATTAATACTGTAAATGTTTTGTCCATTTGATATAAATTAGTCATAGTGTCTTATTTTGCTATTCATTTAATCTTCCTACTCCCATTTAATCTTCCTACTCCATCCTTGAGTGACGGCATAATGGCTAGAAAAAGTATGTACAGACCCCCATGTTGCTGCTTTGCAGATATCAGCTAGAGGGCTATTGCTCAGAAAGACAGATGAAGTGGACTGAGCCCTGGTGGAGTGAGCCATTATTCTTGGTGGAGGAAAGACTTTAGAAAGACCATAGCACAGCTTCAAGAGCTTCAGAGGAGGAAGGATAGCTCAGTGGTTTGAGCATTGGCCTGCTAAACCCAGGGTTGTGAGTTCAATCCTTGAGGGGGCCACTTAGGGATCTGGGGCAAAATCAGTACTTGGTCCTGCTAGTAAACGCAGGGGGCTGGACTCAATGACCTTTCAGAGTCCCTTCCAGCTCTAGGAGATAGGTGTATATCTCCATATATTACTATATTATTCATAGTCAGAAATCCAATGTGAGATTCACGGAGAAGACACTGACTGACCCTTAACTCTCTCTGCATAGACTATAAAAAGCCTCGGAGAGATTCTAAAGGACTTAATGCCGTCCAGGTAGAATGCCAAAGCTCTACAAACATCCTAGGTATGAAATCTTTCTTCAGCTCAGGAAGAATGAGATTTCACTGAAAATACCAGGAGATGAATAGTTTGGTTCAGATGGAAAGCTAACTTTACCTTAGTCATGACCTTATGGCGTGGCTTAAGGGAAACCTTGTTAGCCAGGAGAGACTGAAGTTCTGCAATCCTCTTTGTGGAAGTGATTGCCACCAGAAAAGCGGTCTTCATAGTTGTGATCGGTGTCGGTCCGCCTACCCGCTAGGGGGCGGTGGGGAGCTACGTCGTCACTGGCTGGCCGGGGTTACGCCTCCGCCAGCGGGGAATTAGCAGCAGAAAGGCTGCCAGCCAGAGTCTGTAGCGCGCCCCTCAGGCAGGGGGGGCGCCAGCAAAAGGTCAATAGCGCGCCCCTCAGGCAGGGGAGCGCCGGCAAAGGTCAGTAGCGCGCCCCTCAGGCAGGGGAGCGCCGGTAATGGTCAGTAGCGCGCCCCTCAGGCAGGGGAGCGCCGGCAAAGGTCAGTAGCGCGCCCCTCAGGCAGGGGAGCGCCGGCAAAGGTCAGTAGCACGCCCCTCAGGCAGGGGAGCGCCGGCAAAGGTCAGTAGCGCGCCCCTCAGGCAGGGGAGCGCCGGTAATGGTCAGTAGCGCGCCCCTCAGGCAGGGGAGCGCCGGCAAAGGTCCCGGCGTGGCTCGGCCGGGTAGGGGAACGCAGGCCCACCCTACACCACTGCGTTCCAGCCCAGGGCCCTGACGGTGGCAGGACGAGGGTCCCGCCACTGGATCAGCGGGGTCCCTCCGTGATACAGACTCACCACTGTGCAGCTTTGTCCCTGGGCTACTTCCTACCCGATCGCTCGTCCGGATCCCTCTGATCCCGTCAGTGCGTCGGGGTAGTCCGCTCTTGGCAGCTCCAGCTCCCCCTCAGGCTCAGGCTCCTCCAGCTCCCCCCAGTCCTTGGCTGCTGGCAGCTCCAGCTCCCACTCCGGCTCCTCCAGTTCCCCTGGGTACTCAGCAGCGGGCAGTCCTGGCAGCCCCAGTCCGTCCTCCCGGTGCGGTTTCCACTGGTCCAGGGCCTCCCCTGGCGCGGCAGCAGGATCTGAAGGGAGCAGCCCGCGGTCTGCGTCTGCCTCCCTCCTTGGTGCTGCCCTGACTGAGCTAAGGGCCCCGCCCTTTATACTTCCTGTTCCACCCCTCCCCTTCCGGGGGGTGGAGCAAGCTTGGGCTGGCCCCGCCCACTCCGGCTGAGAGAAAGGCCCTTTTACCTCCGGTTCGGAGGGCAGCCACCCTGGCTCCCTACAATAGTCAATAAAGATAGTCAGGTTGTAGCCATAGGTTCAAAGAGAGAGTGGGGCGGGAGGGAATCCTTCCAGTTTGCAGATGACTAGATTGAGATCCGATACAGAATCACACACAGGAAGGTAAATGTTGAATAGACCTTTCAAGAATTGGGAAGCAAGTTGGTTGGAGAAAATTGAAAATCCTTCTATTGATAGAGGCAGTGCAGAAATGGAAACTAGTAGACTCTGACAGAATTAATGAAAGGCCTGATGACTTTAGCTGCATCAGATAGTCCAGCACATAGTCACCTCTGTGGGATGGGACAAAAACTGTTGAGATTGCACCCAAATTGAAAATCTCTTCCACTTTGCTCCATATGATGCTCTAGTGAATTCTTTTCTGCTGCTCACCAAGATGATCTGAACCTCTCCGGAGCACAATTTCTCATGAGAATTCTACCATAATTAAGCTATAAAATTTCTTAAATAAATGTATATTAAAGTGTATACTCCTAGGTAGCAAAAAAAATGTCCCAAATCTAATGTTACGGTTCTATTTAGTTATAAATCATCATGTTTTAATGGTTATATCAACTAATGAGAATGCACCTTTCTTTAGAAAACAATTGAGGTACACATGGAAAAGCTGATAGAACTCAATGATTTAAATGAAGGCTTTCCACTTGGTGATTTAAACTGTCCTGATTTAAATCAATCCACCCCCCAGAGATTGTCCATGCCATGAGGTTGAGACATTGGTGGTTGGGATGTAGAGACTTACCCTGGTTCTGAGACAGGAGATCCTCGACTAGAGGTAACGTTATTGGCAACCAGACAGAAAGATGATACCAATGCTACCTTGACCATGATGGTGTGACAAGGATTAAATGTTGCTTTGTCTCTTTTCAGTTTCCTGAGTAACCTTGGAATGAGAGGAACTGCCAGGAAAGCATAGAAACGATGTCTGGACCCAGGGAGAAGGAAGGCATCTCTGACTGAGCCAGGTTGCAGTCCCTTCTGGAGCAAAATCTCCTGCACCTGTTCAGGTTGGTTGCAAACAAGTCTATTACTAGATACCCCCATAGTGGAAAATCTGAAGGAGAACATCCTTTCTGATTGACCATTCGTATTGGTCTATGAAAACCCTACTGAGGGAATCCACAATTGTTTCTCTCACTCAAGGAAGGTGGAACACATTCCAGGAGACATAGTTTTTATACACAGAATCCATAGAAGGACAGCTTCCTGGCATAGCTGAGATGATCTTGCACTTCCCTGCCTGTTTAGATAAATCATGGCAGTGGCGTTGTCCCTAATAACTTGTATCATCTGGGTCTTGATGGTGGACCATAAACATCTTGCAGGCCTGATGAATAGCTTGGCTCTCCAGCACATTTATGTGGAGTAAAACTTCATGGTGACCAAAGAGCTTGTGCTTGAAGTTGACTGAGATAGGCCCCTCCAGCCTTTGGTAGATGCATCTATTACCAGAGTCAGAGTTGGTTCTGGGGACAGAAATGGATCTCCTTTGCTTGCATTTCACAGATCCAGCCACCAATCCAGAGACTGAAGCACTCATGCAGGTATGCAAATCTGCATGTCCAGAGGATGCCTGGAAGGATGATCACTGTCTGCAGGCCTTCATTCAGCATAAGGGGAAGTCTGGTATGTGGAGTTATGTATGTGCACAAGGCCATGTGGCCCAGGAGCTATAGGTAGGCATGCACTAATGTCATTGGGTTGGACTTGAGGTTTTCTGAAAGAAACCAAGCACTCTTATGCCTATCTGTGACAGGGATAACAGCCCTGCACACGGAAAACTACTTAAATCCTGGGGATTTTTTTTTTTTTATAATAAATTCTCCTGCTAACAATTAAAAATATTATCTAAACTAACTAACTAACTGTATACACTAAAAGAGTCTGAAAAGCTGGCTAAATGAAGCAAATGCTATGGGGAGCTCCAGCTGTCACCATAGGTGGTGAGAAGGAATTGAGAAGGAGGCAGCAGACGTGCCCCTTTTATGTCCTCATCTGATAACACAAAGAGAATAGGGCTATATGTGCTACCTAGTTGTACTTCTGGGGAGGAAAGTCTCCAACTCAAGTGCACTGGGCATACTTACACCTGCAGTAGAATGTATATGTGCACAACCACTTGAAGGAGAACTCAGGTTTCAGGTAGAGGTACAGCATCTTCATCCACAAGTCAGGAGCAGGATTTGTTCTTAATAGCAACCAATGTATATAATTCCCAGTTATGTTATGGCCAAAAACTGGAGTATTCTCAAAGCTGCACTTGCTAGTTCTGCCTATTCCTCCCACAGAGACAACCAGAAAACCGTGAGATGTTCGGTGAAGAGTCCTAGTATCAGCAACTGATCAACAAAGGCTTCACTCTTATTAGTTATACTGAGGATGTACATATTTCACCCTGAGAACCATTTGGAGCAAACCAGTGCTGATCAGTGAAGTGCTGTATTCAGCAAGGAAAAACTGTATTCAGCAAAGAAAATCCTTGTCACTTCTTTTCCTAGCTTAAAGCAGCAATTCAAAACTTTGCCACATCCTCTCAGTGGACAGTAAAACAGGAAGTCCACATGTACAGATGCTTCCCACTCATACTGAACAAATGTTAAAAAATAAACAAAAACCATCTCTACTTTCATCAGATTGTTGTAAGGGCTACTGGCTCTCTTGAACTCATCTAAAGAGCTGCTCCCAAAGATCTGCAGCCATGTCATGAATTTATCAGGTGACTGTCACTGTAGAGGGGAACTGATTTAACTGACTAGCTGCAGCAGATACCAACCATAACAAAAACTAACAAAATCAGACACATTTACGATTACATGAGGCTTAAGAGTTTCACTATTTGCAGATACACCAAATATGACTGTTGGAGTGCTTTCACTTTTACAATGTTGCCCCTTAATTAAACAATCTTCCGATCTAGTAAACTCTTAAGCTTTCACTTGAATTCAACGAGTTTCTTTTGTAAAGATGGCTGCTTGGGTTCCAAACGATAGAGCATTCCCCAAGGCCACATCCACACACCCGAATGCTTTGGCAGATAATGAAAAACTCCTTTGAAGTATCACAGTAGTTGACAAAAATTCTTGTACGGGTTTTGGTCTGAGTCTGCAGAAAAGGAAAGCCAGACTGCAAGGAGGGTTTCAATAGGAGAAGAAAAGGAGGGTGGCTCATTACCACCATACTGGCTGGCTCCATGGAACAAAGCAAGGAGCATGCACTATAATCCAATTAACTACCCTTTTGGGAAATGTGGAGATGTCTGGGTTTCCCCTCACATCACTCTCACATTCTCAGTAAATGCAGCACACAGCTCTACACAGGAATCTGCAGCCATAGGAGCCTCAGGGAGGTATGAAATGGCCCATTCATCTCAATGTGATGGTCTCATGAATAAGAACACCTCCAGGAGATGAATACAGCCTAAAACAATAGGTCTGAGACATGTGAATTGCTCCATTCATGTCAGTAGGTGTTCTCATCCCCCCTCATGGTGCTGGAGAGGTTCTGACATGCATCAAGCGTGCCTGTTCTTAGCGCCTCACCTCAGTTTCAGCCATGGGTATGTATACACTGCAATTAACCACTCATGGCTAGCCCATGCCAGCTGACTCAGGTTAAGGCTAAGAGGCTGTTTAATTGCAGTTAGACATTCGGGCTCGGACTGGAACTTAGGCTCCAGGACTCTGTAAGGTGGGACGGTCCCAGAGTTCAGGCTCCAGCCCAAATGTCTACACCGCAATTAAACAGCCACTTAGCATGAGCCCTGCCATCCCAAATCAGCTGGCATAGGGCAGCCGCAAGTTAATTGCAGTGTAGACATAGCCACTGTGTTCTTTGTGCATGCTCTGAGCTTGCCCATTTTAAGCTGTTTTGACTACCTGACCTCTAAACTGCACCCCTGTTGTGAGCTCAAATGAAAA